CCCCAATTCATTACTCTCTCCGAAGATTACATTGAGGAGGAAAACCACTTTTCCTTAATTATTTCACAAAAAACCAAGATTTCCCCCCAAAAATCAACGACGCACCCAAGGGCCCAACCGCCCCGCACGAGCGCCCCCTTCCTCCGCCATTCAGTGTCACTATTTCTCGCAGATGGAATGAGAAATAACCGAGCCTGATAAGGCTGATAATGCACCTATGGGAGTTCCCCCTACTCGACTCCTTTCTCAAAATTGACTACGAAAACAAAAAATTTCGAATTATAAATAATGATCTGTTAATAATTTTTCAATTATCTGATCTCAAAAATGATTTTTTTGCTACTTTTATAAATGAGATTTAGTTCATTTCTACATTTTGGTCAAAAGTATGTAAATGCGTCGTTTTGTGAGAAAAAAAAATTTGTTGGAAAAAAAAATTTTTTTTGAAACGTGAAAAAATAGCTGCTAATGAGCTCTAAATTATCCCATGTCGAAAACCAAATTTTCTTAAATTTTTAACGATTTTTTCTGCTAACTTGCGGTAAGGTAGCATCNAATTATAAATAATGATCTGTTAATAATTTTTCAATTATCTGATCTCAAAAATGATTTTTTTGCTACTTTTATAAATGAGATTTAGTTCATTTCTACATTTTGGTCAAAAGTATGTAAATGCGTCGTTTTGTGAGAAAAAAAAAATTTGTTGAAAAAAAAATTATTTTTTGAAACGTGAAAAAATAGCTGCTAATGAACTCTAAATTATCCCATGTCGAAAATCAAATTTTGTTAATTTTTGAACGATTTTTTCTGCTAACTTGCGGTAAGGTAGCATCGACGCCGTTTTTCCAAAAACTGGGTTAGCTGAAAATTTTTTNAAATTATCCCATGTCGAAAATCAAATTTTGTTAATTTTTGAACGATTTTTTCTGCTAACTTGCGGTAAGGTAGCATCGACGCCGTTTTTCCAAAAACTGGGTTGGCTGAAAATTTTTTTGAAAACGTAGAAAATCATCTCTTAATTAACTTTAAATTATCCTGCTAACTTACAAAAAAGCTAGTATACGCATCATGCTAGCATAAATATGCTTTTTTAAAAATGGCATTAGCAGAAAATTTTTAAATGCATATAAAATTAGTTCATAATAAGCCGCAACGCTATTGTTTTCCGAACGGCATAAAAATGAAAACTTTTGGAATTATAACAAATTATCTGGTAATGATTTTTCAATTATGCAATGTCAAAACTGATTTTTTTGCAAATTTTATAAATGAGATTTCGTTCATTTCTACATTTTGGTAAAAAGTATATAAATGCGTCGTTTTGTGAAAAAAAAAAAAAAAAATGTTTTAAAAGAAAAATTATTTTTTGAAACGTGAAAAAATAGCTGCTAATATGAGCTCTAAATTATCCCGTGTCGAAAACCAAATTTTGTTAATTTTTTAACCATTTTTTCTGCTAACTTGCAGTAAGCTAGCATTGACGCCGTTTTTCCAAAAACTGGGTTAGCTGGAAATTTTGTGAAAACGTAGAAAATTAGCTGTTAATTAGCTTTAAATTATCCGATATCGAAAATCAAATTCTATTGATTTTTTCAATAATTTTTCTGCTGACTTACAAAAAAGCTAGCAGAGACACGTTTTTTTTCAAAAACGGTATTAGCAAAAAAAATTTTTAAAGGCATATCAAATTAGCTGATAATAAGCTGCAAAGTATCCAATATTGAAAATTCGATTCTGCTACTTTTGCCTGCTAGGTTAACATACGTAGTCAGGGAATTACGACAACTTCCTGGGATTTTAAAATTTGAAGCTTGTTTACTCCAGTTATCTAAATTTTTGAGTATTCTTTTGTTGACAAAAAACATAGTCTTGGAATTTAATCTCAAATTTACTTCGAAGAGTGCGAACCCACTGTTTTTGCGATTTTTCTATGGAAAATTCTAAATTCAGCATTCTACTTTTCAAACGAATTCTTGCATATCACGATGGTGGAAATATTAGAAAAATACTCATTTCCAGCAATATACAAACAGCAAAAACACTGAGAGTTCCAACCTGGTCCGCTAGAGAAATGCTTGCATCCTAATTTTCTAGACAAATTTTTTGCTCTACGTATTTTTGTTGAAAAGTTGACAGAGTGATCACCTCTTAAGGGGAAACCTCGCTAGAATTAAAAAGTCTTTGAAAATTTCCTTAGCCATACTTCCTTTATAGCACAATTTCCATGTTTATTTTACCGACGTGTGTCTTTCAATTTCGTGCGGTAAAGGAGTTAATGTGCATAGATACATATATTGCTTATTGATTATCACCGTCAGGTGATCCTCGTTTATCAACTGTTTTAACCCTCTAAGGTGAATTTCAATATCCCCATTCTATGGCCTCCAAAATGAAATGCCGGTGTCCCCACTAAAGCGTCCTACTACGCTTTTCACCTTAGAGTCTATAAATTTCACATTCTTTCATAAAAAAAACGTTTTGTATGGTCAGGGAATTTCAGAATCATGATCATGAATTTTCATCAATTTGACCAGGAAAAGTCAGGAAATTTTGTTGAAATTTCCAGGTGGACACCCTGTATTAGCAATTTCAACATTTGCTCAATCATGAAAAAATGGAAATACCTTATGAGTGTGAGAAAATTAGCAAAAAATATGATCATCAAGGGGGAAATTCAAATATCATGAAACGAGATACTTTGATACAGACACAGCATTTTCTGTATCAAAGTGATGTTTTGCATCAAGACTTCATCTAGAGTAAACAGGTCAATTTCTGGACGGCGGTTAGTTTCTGGATTTCAACTTGCATTGAATATTTCCTAAATAAAATGAAAATTGTACTGATTATTTCACCTTTCAATAATATTACTCGTGTATAATCATGTGATCAATAATTTTCTCTATTGATCGACATTTAATAAATGAAAAAAATATGGCCGTCGTCCGAAAATTAAGAGTTTTGGCTGCATTCAACTATTTCTCAATTTAATTATTCTTTGTTTTGTTATTTTCACTTCAAATAATTTTTTCTGCTAATGAAAACATTCTTGAAGATATGGGACCCATCATATCCCCATTTAGATGATTCTTTTATTTTAGATCCTACCACGAAACGTGAATTTCTCTTAACCGTCCAGCAATTGGGGCCTGTTCATGCTATCGCAATTGTAATATTCACCTTCTAATTTTACACTTGCTCCACAATTTTATGTGTGTCCATTATTTAATGGTTTTAGGAACAGTATCATGGATTCGAATTCAATTTACATACAGCACTCGGAACAAATTCCATCGAAACAAATGAAAAACTTTTTCTCTTTTTAGTAAAAGCTATAAAAGTTTGGGCAAACAGTTTCTAATTTGCAGTACATTCCCGCCAATTATGATGATTATCGTCATTACTTGTATATTTATCATTATTTTTATGATTCCTCCTTCTTTGGTTTCTTATTTTTTCTTTACTATATGATAATTAGAAACATTCAAGCCATAAACCCTTGTGTCAAATATGTAACGTTAGAAGGTACAATAAAGAACGAAATAAATAAATAAAAAATAATTCTTCTAATTTTACGATATACGTTCTGATTACTACGCAGTCGTAATGTACCAATCCAATTCGACAGCTATAGTTTGAGCACACCGAGAAAAAAACCAACAAGTTCTCAAACAAGTCTTGTTTGGGCGAAAGCCGTTAGTTGAAAATTACAAAAAAATTCTTTCATTCGAATTTGAAAGGTTCAAGCGTGAATAATTGCTCTGCTTTCAACAACAACGAAATATTTGGCTCAAGCGGCCGATCATTCATGCAAGACGCTGCCTTTTCAGGATAAAAATATCTATTATAGAGGGAAGTTTATCAAGAAATATTTTGTTCGTAAATTACAAGATTGATGTCATAGTAATTATTATTATAAAGATTATTGAATAGCCGAAACGACAAACCACTATTATCCCTCGTTTCATATAAAACGAGTGTTTGCCGGAAGCAAAATACGTATCGATTCATCGAATAACGAAGAAGTAGTGCTAGAAATTACATTTGTTGTTTGTACAGGGAATAAATTTTTTTTTAAAAGACTAAATCTATTTTCGCAATCAAAATTTTCAATCTCGGCGCACGGCTTCGCATGTTTGGCCCAAAAAATCCTCTTTTCATAATTGTTAACAAATAATTTTTTTTGACACGAGTAAGACTTGTATTAGAACTCTGCTGTTTTTCTCTTAGTGCATGTGGAATTCAAGAAACGTAAAATTCATTAATCCAGACCCGAGTTCTATAGGTTTTGCGTTCTTCTTGAATTGTGTATATTAAATCATTGATTTACTAACAGGTGGACTTGCAGAGGAAGTCGATGAGAAAATTCTCCATGCCGCATTCATTCCATTTGGTGAAATAGTCGACGTTCAAATTCCTCTTGATTATGAGTCAGAGAAGCACAGAGGGTTTGCATTCATCGAGTTTGAGTTGGCTGAAGATGCATTGGCTGCAATCGATAACATGGTAAGCAACTAGACAATTGTATTTTTTAGATCAACTATAGTGATTGTTCCTAATAAATTAGCAGTTTGCTTCCGAATGGGTTCTCTTTTTTCGAATTCTTATTTTACTATTCTATTCTTCTTCATGTCATAATACTATCATCGACTGAAATGTCAAAATTTTTCGTATTATTTCATTCTGTCAAATAATTCTCTATTCAGACCCTTTCAAAACTCAAATTCGTTTCAATCCGGAGTTAATCAAGGTTCAATCGAGGTTTAATCAGTGTGTAGCCGGGATTTAATCAGGATTTATTCAGGATTTCGCCAGAGTTTAACCCAGGTTCTGTCAGAAGTTAGTCGAGACCATGAATCAATACGAATATAATATCTTAAGGATAATCGGGCGAGTCCGGAGGGTCGGAAAAACAGCAGCCATTTTTTTCTTTTTTTTTACGTATTCTTTAAATGATGCAAAAGGCGTGTGCAAAGTTTTAGACTTCTGGGGAGCATGGTTAATTTATTATGAATTTTTGAAAAAGTGGTCATTTAACCCGTGATCTTATGGAAATCACAAAAAAAACTGCAAAACCCAAGGAAAAAATGCAGCCAAAGTCATGAAACTTTAGCCCCATTTAGAACATGTGATCAATGATTTTTTGAGTGAAAAATATTGTTGCTTAGGAGCATTGTCCTTTTTCATAAAGTTGATTGACAATGAATGATTGTTTTGATTGTTAACTTTTTATTCGCCGTGCGATTGGTTGATGGATCAATTAATGATTTCCATGACTACGAGGATGTTATTGTGCGTTACGGCGCTCACTTGAAGATGGTCGCGCGGCACAGCGCGCATGATTGCCTATACTGGCGACAATATGAGAGTGATCTTTCCATCTAACCCCTACTTCCCCCACCACCGACGCGCGCATGCGCNAAGAGAGCGATGAAGCGCTGTGATTGGAGCTCCCTCGAGCCAGTGATACCAGCTGCTGGTGAAAAAATAACTACCGACGAGGTTGCCACTTTTTCGCATGGATTAATATTTTTTCATTTATTAAAAAAAAAAACAATCTGAAAACCATTCAATGCGTGGAACAGATACAAATAAATTTGATTAGCTCCCTAATATTGCCTGAATTTTCAATCCGAATGGGAAAAATTTTTTTGTTCAGCAATCGGTTTTCTGCAGGAAAACAATAGAAACCCCTCCGACTCACCTCCTTCATTTCCTCCTCGCTCGATGGTCCTTAAGTGGTAACGGAACCCGTCGCACGTAGAGGTTAGGGGTCCCCCCTATCGGTATTGCAGGTTCCCGTAGTTTTTTGGATTTTGTACGTGAAAAGTACAAAAGCCCATGAAATATAAATAAATGGATATAAATAAATAATAATGGTATGGAAACATTCATACATCATCTTCTGACTCGTAAAAGTACTTCCCTCTTACAATTGGTGCCCTGTAAAGGACATGTTACCTCCTGGATACCACCCAATCATCATAAACAAGTTTTTACGAAAATTATGCACTAAAAGTACGTTTTTGTACTCAAAATCTCTATCTTGGACCTCACTCGATCGCTCTTTTCTCATGAAAATAGCCATCGGCTACGAAAAATCTACAAAAAATCGGTTTTTCTACCATGACTTGACAGATTCCTACAAATAAAATGGCATCGGCCTTGCCCTGGTCCTTGCTGTTAAATAATTTGCAATTTTTTTTTGCCAAACCTCCGCTATCGGCCAAATGACATATACTATTTTTTGTCATGAAGGCCCGAAAAGGGGGTCGGGCGGGGATGTAAGAGCGGGGTCCAGGGGGCGCAGCCGCGCCGGGGGGGGGGG